ACAGAAAATCAAATATCTAATATTCATTTAATATGTCATTTCTTTGTACGCTAAATACATGATTTATAATCATGTTGATAAGCGTTTGATGTCTTTACTTTACATCATTATTAAACCGGTTCTGAATCTTGTCAGTAACAAATTTGCTAAAACGGGTTTCCGTTCTTGTGTCATTTCCCATGTTTTGGTTCGGTGCCTTCTGAATAAACTGCGAGTGTGGCTGGTTGTGTCGGGGGCAGTTTTATATGAATGTCGCCTTGTTGATCTTTGTTCTCATGCTTTTCCGTTCCTTCTTGGTTTTTGAAGGGAATATTGTTTTTTTTTTTTTTTTGTATAGAAAGAGATACATTATATCTAATCGTTCCCCGCCAAAATCCACTCATGGTGCAATATATGCAAGCAACAAGTAGATAGGGCGGAGTCTGGCGCTTAAAACAAAATCAATACCATATTTGGACTGAATCTGTCGCAAAGGAAATATGATATGATTTTGGCAACACGGCTCTGTTGGAGAATTTTCACCAGTTCAATAGCGATCGTTTTTTTTTATTGTGAAGTCATGTACGTACACGTGAAGATGAAAAAATAAATGATAAATATTTAATCATTACCCTTCAAAATAACTTTTCCCTAAACACAGATTTAACATTTGAGGCGTAAAAAAACAAAGCAAAAGTGTTAAATTATTGCACTGCTGAGTAACGATGTTCAAAGTCTGCTTATTATAAAGCAAGGCGATTAGAACATGATCCTTGACCTAACCGTCCGGTTCTATTCCCAGGCGATGCAAGTCACTTTCGATAGGATTGATTATGCAATCCTTAGAACTACGGTCATTCACACTACATACGTCTGCCCTGGTATGCACAGAAGTTTGAGTTTCTGGCGAATGTGAAGGCAGCTAGTACCGGTAAACTGCATGACAATCTACCCAGGAATGATGCGGTGGCTGAACTATGTTCTATTAAATTTAATGTGGCTTACTGCCAAGATCCGTGATAAAAAAAACTACCATCGCCACCACCACCACCATGATTCTTGACAACTAATGTGAAACTGTCAAAAACGTGCATTCATTATCAGCATATATAAGTGTTTACATTTCAAGCATTTATTTACTCTATTTTAGTTTTGGAAGTATATAATTAGAGGATATGTTATATGTATTTGACCTTCAATTTTGATATCAATTTTAAAGCTGCACGTTGTTTGGCTACATTTATTTATTTTTTTATTTATGAAAAATGATTTGCAATTAATTTGTTCGTAAAGCATATGAAATATCTCAATTCTGCCTCACGTTCCTACTCAATGAGAAGAGATAAATGGAAAACGTAAAGTGCTATATATTATATTTTCCCTTGCATGATCATGACCTTGATATATAGCTATATATATGGGTTAGTACGTATTTAAAAATTAAATTGGTCGCACGGCCGAACCACGCCTGACCTATTTAATTTTGTGTACTAATAAACATTAACCTATATTAAGTCCCGCGGCCGCGCCGCACCTGACCAATTTATTAGTACGTATATTTAAAAAATTAAATTGGTCTTTACAAAATTAAATTCAATTTTGTAAATACGTAGTAATAAACTTATCATAACCTATACTTCGCAAGTGTGTTGAGGGATGTTGCACTTATTCATTATCTCTCATTCCGGGTACTCGGCCCTAAAACATACTCGGCCCCCGGGTCAGCTCGGCCCTATTCCAACTCGGCACGGGTCAACTCGGCCCACTTTTAAAAATGGGTAAAGGCCATCAAAGGACTCATATTGTCGCGGGCTATTATTATCAATCAATGTGTATGTTAAAGATACCGATTGATAAAGTAGGTGATAATTATGATTGACTCATTCATTCAAATTTGATTAGTGACCATCTGCAATTAATTAGAAGCTTATGCTATTAAGTAAACACGTTTTTGTTTCATATTTTTTTGAAAATGACTTTACAAACAAAATGCATCTAAGGGAACACATTTTTATTATATTTATATTCACAGGCACAAGTATCGGACCTGGGAAGAAAAAATATGAAGTTATTTTATCAATCTGTTCATATTTTTTCTTTCCAGGTTCGATAATCGTGCCTGTAGCTATATTAATTTTATCGAATCTGCAAAAAAATAAATAACTTTTTTCTATATATACTTCATTTCAGCAGAGGTACAATGTATAATTATATCATAATAATAAGATATTTCTGATTATTCATTTACCTTAACAACATGCAAAGCAAAGTTAAAACGTTATAGGCCTATATATTTTTGTAAAGTGGGCCGAATTGACCCGTGCCGAGTTGACCCGTGCCGAGTTGGTATAGGGCCGAGTTGACTCTTTTCCTCTCTCATGTACAGGCTCAATCAAACCGAGTCTGCAATTCTTATGTAATTTTGTTGTGATTAATGCTTCCGAGGGATCACTTTGTTTTCAGAATAGTGTTTATTGATATGTTAATGACGTCATTTCATGACGTCAAACTTTTACGAAGACATAAACGTGTGAAGTTTTGACGTCATAAATGTCATTAAACATATAGCCACAGGCACGATTATCGAACCTGGAAAGAAAAAATATGAACAGATTGATAAAATAACTTCATATTTTTTCTTCCCAGGTCCGATACTTGTGCCTGTGAATATAGATATAATAAAAATGTACTGTACTTTATATGTAGAGTCTAATATAAAAAAAAACAACATTTAAAGGTTGCAAAATAAGTTTTGCGAAAACCAAGTGCTGATTGTACAGCAGTACTGTACTGTAGTACTATTACATCGCTAACCAATGAGTGTGTGCTGAACATGACAGTAATTGCTTTCCATACAATACTTTTACCTTGACACTTAATGATGTCATCAAATATGTGATGTCATCTTTACCAGGAAAAAATCATTATTCTGGTAAAAGAGGAAGTGAAAGTAATTAAATTTACATGTGTCGTTACAGTAGGGTTTCTAGTTGTGCTGTGACTTCTAGATTGAGAAATTAATTTAGACTATACTGAATATGGATTTAATTAAACAAATGCATGGATTTATTTCAATGTACTGTGTAGTCCATTGGGCTAGATTATAGAAAATACAGGACTCGGGAGTGACATTGTGTACAGTATCAGTCTGCACGAAAAACTTTTTATGGACAAAGACATTCGGGCTTGGTCCATTAAAATATCACATAGCCCGAACAAATTTTAGGTAGCCCGAAAATTCATACAAAATTTTTCAAAATTTGGCCAGGTTTTCAAATTTATATATATTGTGAAGAAATTGATAATAAGCTTTGTCAGTTGAATAACATTTATTTCTGATATTCTACACTGAAAGATAATAGATTTCTTTCAACTTCTTGTTGACTCATTTCCATAGGCTCATCTTCATATCTATACCAGAATCATAATCCGAGTCGCTGTCTCTGTCAGAGCATTCCCCGTGGTTATGATGCTGAAAATATTACGGAAAATAAAGTGAAATTCATTGTTATTAAATAAGAATAAAATTTTTCAAAACAACACAAATGTTTTACTTTTTAATATTATAAGTATATTAAAATTCAAACCTAAGCTAACATGGCAAACTTGTGAAATGGATAGCTTTTCTTTGAAATCGGAACAGTCAATTTATAATTATTATTTAAAGTTTTAAGTGATTTCAGTATCAAAATACAAAAAAATGGTTAGTCTACACTGCAGTATAAAATTGAATACGGGTTGTAAGGTAAAGAGCTGAATTCTGGTTGCTTGTTGTTTTTTTTTTAATAGTAAACAATTAACAACTTCATGAAAAATGTTTCAAAAAGTAGCAATATACCTCTTCAGCAAATACTTGTTCTGGAGGAGAACTTTCTAAAGGTTTGTCTGTGTTGATATCAGAATCTTGCTCTTGCTCTATAATACATGCATCTATCATTCGGAACTGCCTCGGCTATTATCTATAATAACCTCGGAAACAATACGGATTGAAAGTAGTTCTACCACGTGGTTTCAGGTGTAAACAGAAACAGAGATAATGTAAAACGAATGTATATACTTAACATCTAATGTCTGTTCCGGTACTCTTATGTTTGAAAATATGTCTGACAACAATTTTTAATTTAAATATGCCCACTGATGTTCAATTTTAAACAAATCCGACTAAATGTCAACAAGTTGGTTTTTTGTACTTTCGGTTTCTACAACCATAATAATAAATATATTAATAATGTATTGTTTGCTTTTGTACCTATTAATTCACTTATTTTAGGTGGTCTTTTACTAAATATATTGGAAAAAAACTTGTCAACAACTCCCAGCATTAAATTACTATTTGTTTACATGCTAAGTTTCTTAACGTAGGTTAGACCGAAATACCGCATCCGTTCTGTGTATTCATACTATTGTGTTCGAGGTCCTTATCCGAAGACTGACGGAAAGGGCCGAGTAGTTGCGATTGATGCATCTATGTGCGCCATTTTGACATTTTAATAACGCGGTATTTGATTGGCTTAAAATGTCTATGCATTATTTCAATAAGCTTACCCCTCTGGCGTTTTGGAAATACCAGTGTCAATACCCCGAAAAAAATCAATATGCTATACCCCTCTCGGCGGTTATAAATAGTATCGACGTATATTGGAAAATCCCGTGTCAATACCTCGAAGAAAATCAATATGTTATATCCCTCCCAGTCATTGTGTTTAAAATTCTATTTATAATCATTTTGGTTTCCCAAACAATGCAAGACCGTCGGACTATGTGCCCTGCCTTTTTAGCTAGCCCGAATGATTTTTTACTAGACTCAGGCTCGGGCTTTGCGTATTTTTCGCAGACTGCAGTATCATCGTATCATGTCAACTTTAGGTCTACAGTAGAGAGTCTAAGAAAATTTGTAAAGTGAGGAAATATTGAAAATGAGTTTAAATGACAATGACTTCACTACAGTATAGAAAAGTACAGGTAAGATTTATTTATAAAGAAACAAAGATCTTGAACTATCTTAGTCTATTATATACTGTTTACTGCAGTAGATAATATAAGTCAACAAAATCTGAATTGGAAATCAAGTTGTTTACTGTATATGTGTATGTACCTTTATGATCACAAGTTGCCTGTACATTTATACTATGCTGATGTTTCCTGTTAACATATGCTGCTTCATCTGGTTGTCCTGGGGATATCAGTTTTACGTGAGTTCCATCTATGCATCCAATCACTGAGGGAAATCCGCGTATTGCGTAAAACCCATTCATGACTTTTCGTCGGTCAGTGTCGGTCATTGGAAACTTTATTACCTGGTCCTTCAGTCCGAAAAGTATGTCAGTCACTTTTGTGATAACTCTGGAAACTGTAGCAATGTCCACACCAAAGGTGTCACCAATAACCTGCATGAAATTACCCGTGGCAAGAAACCTCAAGGTAATCAAAATCTGTTGTCGGGGTGTAAGGGCTTGATTCCGACGGGTCTGTCGCTCCAAAAGTGGTCCAATAAGTCTGACTAGTCTGTCAATATTGTCAGCAGAAAACCTATACCGTTTCCGCAATTCCTCGTCCGTAAAGTCAGTCAATTGTCGATCAACTCGTCGAAATTGTCGGGGTCGTCGGTGTGAAACGCGTAAAATGTCCGCCATGTTGGTTTTGGTTACAGTGCAGTTACCGAGCTACTTTACCTGGGTTAAATTTAACCGCGGTTATAGCGCGGTAACTGCTTTTGATGTTTTTTATACAATCGCTTACCGCGAGGTTACCGGGCTGGTTACCGTAACCGTGTGGTAACCGCGCGGTTAAATTGTTTATACAATTGGCTGCTGAAGCGCTCTGACAATCATTGCGGTAAGCCGTTGTTTTAATTTCTCGGAAGTTTACCAATCTCTTTTTCCCACTTTATTAATTTTATATGTATGATCTGTACAGTAAACTATGCAAATGTAATGTCTCACTGTAAATATCTAATACAATTTAACTAATAATAGTCTAACATTTGCATAAGTGTTTTTTTAATTATTTATTTATTTTAATTTCTTTAAGTAAGTTACACAAATGGTCCTGTGATACGAACAGAGAATGTTCGTCCCCCGCTCACACGTGTAATAAACCGTTTGTACAAACACAAATCATTGGCCTTAATCAGTCAGTCATGCTTATGTAAAGAATACATTATGGAGAAATGAATGCGGTAAAACAACTTTAAAAAAGTATTATATTCAATAGTTAAGAATTATTTGTAAAAGTTTGCCACATATTTGTTGTTTGCCGAGATATTAAACTTTTAATTATATGCTAATGCGTATAGTATGCAATTATCAGTACTTATAAAACTTATATCGAACTGATCGGAATAGATTAGCAATGCTAAAAATGGAAATAACCAGATAAAATTATGTTATAAGCATGGTGATAGTTTTCACTCCGGATCCTGGCAGTAACAACATTGAATTTACCAGAGCACAGTTCAGCCGCCGCATCGTTTCTGGGCAGATTGTCAAGCAGTTTACCAATACAAATTGTCTTCATATTCCAAGGAACTGATTACTTCAGTACATGCAAGAGCAGAGGTACAGTGCGAATGACCGTAGAAAGGATTTCATGATCAAGCACAACGAAAATATCTTGTACCGTCCGGGAATCGAACCCGAGTCGCCCGGTTCACAGTCAAACGCTCTACCTATTGAGCTGACCGGACGGCGTGTCATTAGCATGTACAATACAGTAGTTATTAAGTGTGTAACATTTTAAGTCAATGGTACCAGTTGCATTTAAGATATTGCCAAATTGCTATCCTATTCTCAAAGTGCTAAAACGGAAATAAGAGGGGCACAATTTTGTTATATGCCAAGATACTGTACTTTGTTTAAAGAAATGACAATAGTACAAAACCAATAGCCAAACATAACCTTTTCAATGTGCTGAACAGGAAAATAGGTCTGGTAACATTTAAGGCACACAACTGTCATTTTGACATGAATATATGGAAAATAGGTGTAAACAGTGGAATAATAAAAGCAAATAACATTGTGTCAACACTGATTTATTGATTTATTATAGATAATTATCTTAAAACAATCATTATGCAAACATACAAAATCATATGTTTTTATACATAATAATTATGATGATAATAAAATACAGTTAATCTTGGATAAATTATGTCCAGGAAAACACTAATCATTTTTTTTTACTCCAGCAACAAAAATTCAATAATTAATTTCCAACCCGAGCCAACGACTCAAGAGGAAAGTACCTTCGCTCAGCAGACAGTACAATTGTTAACTGTTTTTGTACAGTACAACTGTTAACTGTTATGAACAGTACAAATAATAACCTTTTTTGTACAATACTTTCCAAGAATCATATTTGTTTCCAGTCTCAACGAAAACTTCTTAGTGATTTCAATCAATTGGAAAACAAAGTTGTACTTTAAGGTCTGGTAGACATGATCCTTTTCCAACCATTTATGTATGTTAAAAGAACAAAAGAAAAGTATTCATGTTTAGTTATATCAAAGTCAATTGTTAATTACCAGATGTTGTTAAAATGATAGTTTCAGTTTGCCGGATCTTTCATTTAGCAGAACAAAATGACTCTAGCTATTTGTTGTAAACAAATCTCCAATGACATTTCCTATTAAGCTTCATTAAACTGGCCAGTGGTAAAACAAGCTATGTCGGCTGGAGGTTGTTCTTATCATTATTTAGAGTATGACAAACAAATCATATTGTTTTTATCAGCATTTAAGGAAAATTATTACACATTTAAGGAGAACTATTACAGAAAAGTTTATATAACATATTCTTTCTCGTGGTGAAACGTACGGTCTAAATATAAAAATCGATTGAAAGTTTAAATATATTTTATATAATGTTAAGCAGACCAAAAAAACTAATTTCCTATGGTCCACTCAAAGATTGTTCTTACTGAGTTCCATTAGGTTCTATCAACTAGGTTTGGGCGCAGGTTAAGATGTAAAACTTCAAGCCAGTTTTCTTGTTAGATGGTAAAAACAATTAGCTATGAATAAAGAAGCATATAGAGTGACGATTCTTTATAGTTTAGTTATAAGTGTCAATAAGGCTGTTTGAAAACCTTAAAATAGAATGACCATACAGCTCCCATGACACCTGGATATGCTTTTCAGTCTTTTCTTCAAAACTGTGTACTTTGTCTTAACAATATCATTGCATATCATAATTATATGTTTCAGGGGGAAAAACATCATATAAGTAACTACAAATTTCAAATGGTCATTATAGCAGCAATATTCTCCTCATCATTTACATGAATTAACTTTCATGGTAAAATCTGTACAGTAAATAAAATAGACAAATGCAATACGGTACACAAATATAGAAGTCTTATTCATGTATTAAAGCTTATACGTGTACACATATTAATATTATAGATAGTCACGTAAACAAATACAAAACTGAGAGTAAATCATATAGTACATAAATATAAAAACTTGATAATAACAAGGGTGCCATAGTCACAAAATACGCCCGTTTACGAAAGCTTTAGATGGAGATGGGGGCATTATGGATAAGTGTTATCTAGCAAGCAAGTTTTTATTCTTGGCACTGTGTTGTTAAATGAACCTTTAAACAAATCAGTAGGGAAGATATGCACAGGATGTGTGACCTTGACCTTGGTCGCAGGGACCTGAATTTTATGCACGGCACTCAGGCTCACAATGATGAACATTTGTGCCAAATTATATTGAAATCCCTCTATGCATGTAGAAGTTTTGCTCCAGACAAGCGTTTTTCTATGAGCTCTAACTGTGACCTTCACCTTTGACCTAGAGACTTGGTTCATGTGCAGGGCACTACGTCTCATGGTGGTGAACAATTCTATAAAGTAACATTAAAATTCCTCCATGCATGTAGAAAATATGCTCCGGACAACATCTGGATATCTAATCATCTCCAGTGACCTTGACTATGCAAATATTAACCTAAATTTAATGTGTCACACCTGTAGTCATGATAGTTACCATTTGTGCTACAATCCATCAATAAATGATGACTAAATGGTCCCTATACACATCTTCAAATTTTATCTGGACTTTGACCTCTATGTGTAACCTTGACTTTGGTCGCAGGGATCTGAATTTTGCGTGCGACACTCAGCCTTACAATGGTGAACATTTGTGCCAAGTTATATTGATATATTGAAATCCCCCTATGAATGTAGAAGTTTTGCTCCGGACAAGCGTTTTTCAATAAGCTCTAAGTGTGACCTTGACCTTTGACCTGGAGACCTGGATTATGCATGGAGCAATACATATCATGGTGGTGAACATTTCCATAAAGTATTATAAAAATTCTTCCATACATGTAGGAGATATGCTCCAGACAAAATCTGGATATTTCACCATCTTTAGTGACCTTGACCTTGCATATATTGACCTAAAGTACATGTGTCACAGCCATAGTCATGATAATGATCATTTGTGTTACAATCCCTCAATAAATGATGACTAAATCGTCCCTATACACATCTTCATATTTTTATCTAAACTTTGACCTCTATGTGTGACCTTGACCTTGGCTGCAGGGACCTGAATTTTGTGCGCGACACTCCGCCTCACAATGGTGAACATTTGTGCCAAGTTATATTGAAATCCCTCTATGCATGTGGAAGTTTTGCTCCGGACAAGCGTTTTTCAATGAGCTCTAAGTGTGACCTTGACCTTTGACCTAGAGAGACCTAGTTCATGTGCGTGACATGGCTTCTCATAATGGTGAACATTTCTATGAAATTTCATTAAAATCCCTCAATGCGTGTAGGAGATATGCTCCGGACAAAATCTGGATATATCATCATCTTTAGTGACCTTGACCTTGTATATATTGACCTAAATTATATGTATCACAGCCATAGTCTTGATAATGACCATTTGTGTTACAATCCCTCAATAAATGATGGCTAAATGGTCCATATACACATCTTCATATTTTTATCTGAACTTTGACCTCTATTTGTGACCTTGACCTTGGCAGCAAGGACCTGAATCTTGCGCGCGACACTCAGCCTCACAATGGTGAACATTTGTGCCAAGTAATATTGAAATCCCTCTATACATGTGGAAGTTTTGCTCCGGACAAGCATTTTTCAATGAGCTCTAAGTGTGACCTTGACCTTTGACCTAGAGACCTGGTTCATGTGCGCGACACTGCTCCTTATAGTGGTGAACATTTCTATGAAGTTTCATTAAAATCCCTCCATACATGTAGGAGATATGCTCCGGACAAAATTGGACGCCGCCCGCCCGCCAGGGGCGTTCCCATAATTAGTCCCGTTTTTCAAACGGGCGTATAAAAAGTGTTTGTTTGTTTGTTTGTTTGGGTTTTACAGCACACCAATACAGTAAATGTCCAGTCCTACTGGAAGAGGAAGACTTCACGTGCCCTTTTGTTAATTGTATCAGGCACAAATAGGCACCTGAGTAAGCTTGCTTGATAGCTTCCTCATATAATGTACAAAAACAGTTATCTAATAGTAAGCTATGTACACAAATACGAATCTTATAGAAAATCGAGCACGCAAAAAACAAATCTTCTGTAAATCATGTACACAATAAAAATCTTATACAATGTGATAAATAATATCTACACAAAAAGAAATCTTGTTG